ACTACTTTTCTATGATAAGCATATAGCACACAACAATGAAGAGAAAAACAGTGAAAAAATTTTAGTAGGGCACATATTTATTTCTGGTTATCACATCCACTACATGCATGCATTCATTCATTCATTTTCTTGAGACAGAGTCTTTTTCTGTCGCGCAGGCTGGAATGCAGTGGTGTGATCTCAGTTCACTGAAACCTCCGCCTCCCAGGTTCAAGCAATTCTCATGCCTCAGCCTCCCGAGTAGTTGGGACTACAGGCATGTGCCACCACTCAGCTAATTTTTTGTATTTTTAGTAGAGACTGGGTTTCACCATGTTGGGCCAGGCTGGTCTCAAACTTCTGGCCTCATGTGATCCACCCACCTTGGCCTCCCAAAGTGCTGGCATTACAGGCATGAGCCACCGCACCCAGCCCTGACTAGTCCATTTAGTTCACTAAGTTTACTAAAAGAAACACTCATGCAATATACAAACATACACATATACACTTATTTTTTTTTTCCTTTTATAACCAAAGAAGGAGAAACTAGATAACCAAATTTACTTCTGAAAAATTTAAGCCTAATATAATACTAATTACAACTCTCAGCCAAAGTAAATAAGTGATCTAGCTGGGACAGCTGAGCTGGAATCTGCAAATAGCAAGGGTGGCAGGGCATGGGGCTCATGTCTATAATCCCAGCTTACTTGTAAGACTCTGGTGGGAGGACTGCTTGAGCCCAGGAGTTCAAGTCCAGCACAGGCAACACAGCGAGACCTCATCACTAGAAAAAAAGAAATAAAGAAAAAAAAAACTAAAAAAAAAAAAAGCTTTTATAATTAGCATGAGTGTCAGACTGGGTGATTCCTCTCTCATGATGCCCACTGCCATCCTTTCCAGGCCAGCAGCAGACCCCTACTAGATGGCTATTCTCATTTCGTTTCTGGTCTAGGTCAGTTTACTTTTCTTTCAGTAGTTAGGAAACTGCCTTAGACCCATGAGAGAGATAGTAAACTGGATCAAGAAGGGAGGGGTGGAGGAAAAGGGGAAGGAAAGGACTTGAAGGATTAATGAGCTGATTTTCATTAAGGCTTTGACATCTTGGAATGAAAAGCAGCCTGTAAGAGCAGAAGCCCAGTCCTTTCCTGAAGCCATGTTGCCAGCTGACCATTCATCACCAAAAATTCCCCAACAACTCCATGGCTATTGCTTAATCACCTCATATAAATCCCCATTAATCTTGCAAAGTCAAAACACAAATATATGACAAAAGTCTTCATTTTATGTCCCTCAATTTCAGAGTCAAAATTTAAAAACTGAATTGGTTATCCAATAGCACCAATGAATTTTTTAAAAACCTTCTTTGAGAACAAAAGGACAAATACATATCCACTAGCATTTTTGTACTTATGGGACTGAACAAACTCAGACTAATGATCAAATAAATTATGGAAGGAAAAGGGTGTCAGTGTTAAAATTTCAGCCAACATTTTTTTCTTTGCAAAAACATTAATTTTTCATAGCTTACATTCAAAAGATACAGAAAATCCTTAGTAGGCTCAAAGGAACATTTATTCTTCTTTCATGTGTAAATTACCAGGGACATAAAAAAGCCTCTTCAGTAGCTGAATTTGGACTACTCTGCACTGTAATATCTTCATGTAAAAGGCAGGTGAGAAAGTAAAGACAGGAGTCTGTTCTGAGAAGGGATCGCTAGGACCAGAGGGGGTTCTTCTGAGCATGGAGTTAACTAGTATAGACAGACAACTCTCGGAACAAGAGGACCTCAGGGACAAAATGAGGCTTCATCACTTATACCCAGTTCTATAATTTGCTATTTAGGAACCTCAGAGTTATCCTGTCAATGACGTGGATAATATAGAAAAACTGATACATTGCTTTGGAATGCATTGTGCTGTCTGGCAGTATGTTTTCCTTCCAAACTCTATTCCGGGCTCTGAACACATCCTGATTAACACTTGTAAAAGTGTGCTGGGGAGCAAAAGGAAGCCTGGTGTTAGGAACCATTTACAGACCACCCACAAAGCGGAAAGTTCACACTTGGATAATAGAGAGTTGACTGTACTGGAAACAGAAAAGTGGCTTTCCTAGATTCTGGGCAAGGAAGGTGGAAACCCAGTAAATTGCAGTGATTCATGCCTTTGTCTTCTAGAGCTGGAAAATCATGGAGAAAAATCAGAAGTAGGGTGGGGAGTGGAGGGAAGGAGAATGGAAAGCCCAATTAGAAAATAGCAATAGGGACCATAGGACAGGTTTAAAAAGGCCTGGAGGACTTCTCTTTCTCTTAGCTGCAGAGGAAGCTGATGGCTTGTCAGCCATCTTCAGGCACCGCACAACATGAAGGTCCACTCAATGGCTGGCTTGCCGCTCCATCTCCTCTATCCCATTCAACAAGAGGTAATGGACTCAGGAAGCCAGTGGATAATGACTTTCTATGAGATGCATGAAGGAGTAGCAAGATAAGGGGGCAGAAATTTCTTCCTCAAAGCACTTTAAGAACTGGAGTGTTAGGATACTTGGGACAGTCCTGGCTAGAAGCAGGGTTTCAGAGGATAATTTCTGGACAGCCCTGACTTCTTTATCTCCAGAAATAACAGGTAGGAAGAAGTGGCCTATTACCTGGCAAACAGCTGAAGAGTACTGATGTGATATGTATCTTCGGGATGCTAAGAGCCACACAGAAGGCAAATGGTACTAGGCTTGGGTAAACACTTTATGGGTAAGCGACTCCTACTCTTTAAATAAAATGGAGAAAACAGGTTGGGTGCAGTGGCTCACATGCCTGTAATCCCAACACTTTGGGAGGGCGAGGCAGGTGGATCACCTGAGCCCAGGAGTTCGAGACCAGCCTGGGTAACCTGTTGAAACTCCTTCTCCACGAAAAAACCCCACAAAAATTAGCTGGGCATAGTGGCATGTGCCTGTAGTCCCAGCTGCTCAGGGGACTGAGGCGGAAGGATCACCTGAGCCCCCAGGAGGTCAAGGCCACAGTGAGCCGTGGTAGCGCCATTACACTCCAACCTGGGTGACAGAGCATGACCCTGTCTAAAAAAAGGGAGAAAAAACAGACTAATAGACTAAAAATGAGAGGCTCCCAATAACTTTACTGGCATTTCAGACACGAGATAATTTCTCCATCAATATCCCTGTCCAAAGCTATTAATGTTGAGACAATAATTGAGACACACACATCCACACATGGGGAAATCCACCACTGGCTCCTTCACCAAAAGGTTTCTTTCAGAAGCTTTCACTGTGTGGCCTGGGCATATTTCCTCAGCCCCATTCTCTGTCACTTGTGCCTTACACTTTAGGTTCCAGAGGGCGAACTTCCTTATGGTTCTGCAAGCCTACAGTGCCATTTCATATTGCTGTGTCTCTGCCTATGCTATTACCTAAGCCTGGAATTCCCCTACCTGTGTGGATCAGTTGGCAAAATTCTGGCTCACTCTTGATGGCCAGTTTGATGTCAGCCCTCCCTCACCCCTCTTCTGGGGTACTGCTGTACCTATTACAGACATTTGTTATAACACTTAATATACCAGAGGAAAATTATGTATTTACACATCTTTCCCACTTCCTGGAAGTCCCTGAAGCCAGGAATAGTTCTTTTATATTTTTGTATCCCTACATCTCCTAACACAAAGGCTGGCAGGTAGCCTGTGCTCAACAATGCTTTGTCGAATTAAACTGATTTGAGAGCCTCACACAGCCAATTACTTGACTTGCCATAGAAGGTAGAGAGCCCAACAAAAGTGACCAGAAGCATACTTTCTGAAAAATAAAAAAGAGAGGCTTCTACCTTAGACAGCCTATACATATATATATATATATACACACACACACACACACACACATACACACACACACACATATTTTTAACTTGTTTGTTTCTCAAACTCTAAGCATCAGAAATTTATTTATTTTTGAAACAAGGTCTCGCTCTGTCACCCAGGCTCGAGTGCAGTGGTGCAATCATAGCTCACTAGGGCCTTAAACTCCTGGGCCCAAACCATCCTCCTGCCTTAGCCTTCCAAGTAGCTGGGACTACAGGCATGTACCACCATAACTGGCTAATTTTTGTTGTTGTTGTTTTGTAGAGATGGGGTCTTGTTATGTTATCCAGGCTGTTCTTGAATTCCTGGGCTCAAGCAATCCTCCTGCCTCAGCCTCCCAAAGCGCTGGGATTACAGACACGAACCACTACACCTGGCCAATATACTGACTCTTAATCAAATGCGTGCACTATGGCAGGAAAGGTGGTAACACTAACATATGCGCCTCTTCTGGAGCTACTCTGGTGGAACTTAGAGAGGACCTACAGGGGCCTTTGCAGCTAACACTATCCTGTCACCACCAGAGTCCTGCAACACAGATTTTGAACACGGCGCTACAGAGAGTACTCCCTGTATATTAAATGAGAAATTCTTTTTACTCCTTTATCTTTTACACAATAAATGTTTTAAGTTCCAGGATAAACTAACAATGGCAAGGATGAAAAATATGTTTCTACTCTTTTTTGCCTTGCTTATTCAAGCTACCCTACTTCCCACCTAAGAATGGCAACTTCCATCCCCTCTTGCTATTCACACCCTATCTGTCTCTCAGTGCCTGCTCAAGTCTACAGCAATCTCTAATCTCTGAGTTGCCATGGCACCTAAGAGTTTGTACCACATGATTTAGTCAATCACTGCCTTTCATTGTTATAATATCTAACACAGGACTGGGCACATAGCAGGTTTCAATAAAAACAAGCTGATTGGTGGGCAGATAAAAAGCCATGTTACATGCCCCTTAGTCACTTAGCAGTTTTAGAAAAATTGTCAAGAAAATATTTTTCTTTCTTTACCACAACCCGAAGTTCTAAAAGGATAAATACTCCAATAAGTTTAGAAAACTCATGCCAATGACTTTTAAAACTCCCCACAACTAGAAACAGCAATTCTCAAATGTATTCCTAACCCCTGATAACTCCTTGCTCATGTGGGATTTTAACATACCTCTTGGCCAGCCAGAGTTTGGCTTTGGTACAAACAGTGATGTCAGTCAGCTCGTGCTGGAAGTCTGAATTCGTTCTGTGTTTGGAGTCTGAGTAGGCTTGCAACAAATGAAAAACCTAAACCAAAAAAGAAAAAAAAATTCCTGCTATGAAAATATATTTTTCCTAAATGCTCAGTTCCTCCCTTTTAAGTTTCCTTAAAATATTCCCCTCAAAGAAAACAGACACCTGCAGAATGCAGCTCTGGTCTCTTTGCAGAAAAGCATGTTGGTTTTGGAGGATGTAGCAGTGGTGAGAAACCCAAGTCCTTTTTTTTTTTTTTTTTTTTTTTTGAGACGGAGTCTTGCTCTGTGCCCCAGGCTGGAGTGCAGTAGCGCGATCTCGGCTCACTGCAAGCTCCGCCCCCCTGGGTTCCCGCCATTCTCCTGCCTCAGACTCCCGAGTAGCTGGGACTACAGGCGCCCGCCACCTCGCCCGGCTAATTTTCTTGTATTTTTAGTAGAGATGGGGTTTCACCGTGTTAGCCAGGATGGCCTCGATCTCCTGACCTCGTGATCTGCCCGTCTCGGCCTCCCAAAGTGCTGGGATTACAGGCTTGAGCCACCGCGCCCGGCCGGAAACCCAAGTTCTTAATCCATACCTGTGCTATGGGTTTCTCACACAATCCCCAAAACCGATGACTGTGGCCCCACAATCATCAGCGACAAGAGCTGATTAGTTACAAACCACCTACACATTGATTTCAGCAGAGAAATGCAAACATCTCTATGTTAGCTGTCTCACAGGAAAACAAAATGTGCCTTTTAAAGTCAAAGTCTTAAATTTAAAGAAAGATAAATTGTTTGAGAGTCTAAACTGGTTTACATGTCTGGGTTCATTAGAACAGTCTTGGCTAAAGAAGTAGGCCAAACTAATTCTTGCCTTAGCAAATACTGGGCAGTGATGTTTGTAACTATTAAGGTTGTTTTTTTTTTAGCAGATCTTCCCTTCGATGTCAGGAGTGAATGCAGCAATGCAGACGTGCCCCAATTATACAAGGATACTCGTGTGTATGCACGTATGCATGTATGCATGTACTGGATTCAGCAATGACATCCGCAAGGCCTCTGTGAGGAGTCCAAATCTATAGCAGACAAAGAATAAGGACAAGGGCAAACATGAGATCTTTTGACCTTGGCTAGTGCCAAGGAGAAAAATGCATGTCAAGAGAAATCCTTCAGTCTCCAGCCTCCTTATCTAAATCAAGAGGAAGAGGTGGGTAAAGCAAAGTAAGCACAGATAAACACACTAAGAACTCTGAAAGTCTACTTTAATAACATCTGTTTTCTTTCCCTATTATATCCTTCTCTAGAGCTGTGAATGATTCTTTCTGTGTAACCAGATTCAATGTTTTCCTCTCGTTCTCTCCTATCAACAAGGGGCTAACAATAGTGAAACAACTGAGAGTTAGATATGGAAGGGGGTAATGAGAAACAGAAAAGGCCAGATAAAATCAATCCAGAGTCATCAGACCCTAAATGGGTAAGCTGGCAGGTTTTACTAGGTCAGACGTCTGCAATCACCAACAACAAATACATGCCAAGTACCTTCTGTTTAGAGAATCAAAATAAATTTCTTCTGAACAGAAGTAACTGTACAGGAGAGAGAACACAAGTCCCAATGTGGAGACTGAAAATGCTTTCTCTAATAATGGATCTGTTATTTCAGAAGCAACAGATCATATGTCGTGCCTTCACCACACCCCCGCAGGGACCCAAACCGCCCGTCGTGGAGTCTGGAGCAATGGGTCTGGCTGGAGCTTCTGTTCTTATGTGGTGACTGCCAGAGGGAAAAAATACCTCCCTCAGCCTGAATCCCCACTGTCCTGAAAGAGCTGGCAAAGTCACTGGGCTTTGCTTTACTTTTCTCTACAGCTGCACAAAACCAACCACCAGGGCTTTTCATGGTGTCACAGGATTGCAATTAATCAGCAGACACCAGCAAAATACATGACTTTGGAATTTACTTGTAAAGAAACCTGTGAGATTTTCAAATGCTTCTCATTTAGAAGCAATCACTTCAAAAATAACTCCTGGTGGATGTTTAAACTTAGTCCTGTATTTGCTCACCTTACTTGGCAAAAACAGTAACTGTTTTTGAAACGCTTGGTAGCTCTGGTTTATGAAAATCAGCCTACAATTCTGTCACATTGGATACAAACCAGACAATTGTGATCCTGGTTATTCACCAGGAATGGAGAGCAATCTATTTACACAGGACAAATGGAAAGACAGGTATGCTGAAAAGAACCGTGGTGGAAATAAGCATGTGGAAGGGCCAGGGTCAGAGCAGTCAAGGAAAAAATGGGGCAGGGAAGGAGACAGAGAAGAGAAGACAGGGGAAGGAGAAAGGAAAGAAAGTTTTATAAGCAAATGTATGAAACAGGTTAATGTTTTTGAGATATTTTTCTTTAAGAAAATTAATTTAAAAATTTGAATACACAACTACCCTCATAAGACAGTTAGTGTGTTGGGTTCAAGAAAAATGAGACCATCCTTTGGCATGAGGTCCAGGTACAAGGCCAGGCCCTCTGAAACTAGGATTTGATCAAGGTCAGACTCAGGAGCTCCAGGCAGCTCCCAAGACGGGCAGTTTGTCCATCAGCTCTTCAAGGATGGCAAGAGCAAGGCAACTCTTTCTTCCCCACTTTCCTAAAGTTCTGGAGGCTAAGAATTCTGAGGCTAAGAAAGTAGTCAGGCCCAGGCCTGTACTGAACCAAGCACAGAGAAACCAAAGCTACCAGATCCAAGGAGGATGATTAACTGAACACACATGAGAACTCAGAAGTTCAGTGTCATTTTAGGTGTCCCAAATTGGCAATTGAATCCAAACATTGTCAACAAGTATTTATTAAACAACTCTTATTACCAGACACTGTCCTAGGGGCTGCAGCAGAGACCTGATAGTTCCTTGCTTTCCTGTAGCTTACATTCTAGTCATGGAGACATGAAAAATCATTAGCTTTCCTGACTCTGCCTGGTCATGATTTACAACCTGCATGGCAGCATCGTCATCACTTTCCTTTTTATGCTTGACCTCCCCCTCCAATAAGTCTGGATGCACTGTAGGAATTCAATAAGCATTTGCCAAATAAAAACAATGTCGGTATTTGGTGCTTCTTCCTATATTCACTCCTTTAGGACACATTCCCTTGGGTCTGGTGAGCTATCGTAGGTGCCGACTTCTGTGTCTGGAGTGGAAGAGAAAGCTGAATCATGCTGTGCTCCTCATCCCAGTGGATGCCTCATCTGATAGTGGAGGCAAGAAGGCTAGATTAGCGCTAAGAATCTGGCCTCATAGAAAAGTCGAAGAGCACGGATTCTGGAGCCGAGCAGAGACAGGTGTAAACCAATTATCAGTTTTGGAGCTTTGGGCAACTTAACCTCTGTTCCTCCATAGTAAATGGCCTACAATAATATCTAACTTGTAGGACTGTAGAGAGATTTAGAAGAGAATATATACTACTAGGATGCACTAGGGATGTGATAACAACGTTGATTCTTTTCCGTGTTCTGTCTGCTCCCTCCCTTGCAGCCCCATTCCAAAAATAAACAGTCAGAGAAGACTTTGCAGAAAGAGTGATATGCATATGTGGCCTTGAAAACAGTCTTGCCAGAATCGAGGGAAGGGTATGCAAGCAGTGAAAACAATTAAAACACATTTTAAGGGTATTAAAATATTGGTAATGCCAACAAAAGAGTGAACCTTAAACTATGGACTTTAGTTAATAATAATGTGTAAATACTGCTTCATTAATTGTAACAAATGTACCACACAAATACAAGATATTCATAGTAGGAGAAAATTGGGGGAAGCAGGTAGGGAGGAGAAACCTTCTGTATTACCAGTTCAATTTTTCCGTAAATTTAATGGTTCTAAAAAATAGTCAATTAATTTTTTAAAATATTGGTACTATTCAGGGGAGAGCAAGTGGTCCTGTGTGAGCAGAGCACAGCCAGGGTGTGCACAGGGTGGTGGGAGACACAGCTGGAGACAGGAGTCGGGTCTGGTCAGAGAAAGACCTTAAGGCAACATTAAGGAATGTGTACTTTATTCTGCGGATGGCAAAGATTTCTTCAAAGAATGCTCTTGGGTGATGAGATCTGTAATTTGGAGAGGAAAGCCAGGGGCAGTGTGGAGGTCACAGCAGAAGGCGTGGAATGCCCAAGACTACTGCAGTAGTCTAGACACGAGGAGGTGAGGGTTGAAACCAGCAGCTCAAAACCAATAGCCTGTGGGCCAAAAGTGGCTGCAGATGTTTTGTTTAGCCCACGCAGTACTTTTAAATCAACCCTTACGAATTGGGAGATTTCACATTAAAGTCATCCTGATTTCCATTTTGAAAAATCAGATCTGGCTATAGCGGCTCACCTTCCTGCAGGGCTAACAGTCACCTGGCTGGAGCTGAGCAGTAGGACCTGGCCTCGGAGACGAGACCTGCACTCTCTAGTCTACTACTGTCACCACTATTACTACTGCCTGCTACTCTAGTCACTAAGACGGAGGGTCAATGACATTTATCAAAGCTCTTAGGTTTTTTTTTGTTTTAAACTTTTGGAGAATCAAGAAAAAAATAAGATACTTACTGAACCCAAATCTCTATTAAAAGTTTGAAAAGAAAGAATGGGCAGAGAGCCCCTGTGTTTATACTCATCCCCCTCTGGTTCACTTACCCACCTGGCACAGGTAGGATTCTGATTTTATGACATCTCCACCCCACCCCAATCTAAACCACAGCAGCAATGGAAGGAGAGGAAAGGATACATTTGAGAGAGCTTCTGCGGGCTGCAGAGGCAGGGCTTGGCAACTGCTTTAGACATAGAGTTAAGCCGCAGGAAAGAGCCTCTTAACTTGGGCAGCTGGTGAGCAAGGGGCATCTTTCAAGATGGAGATCATAAGAGAGTCTACAGCAGACTTGGGAATGAGGGAGCGGAATTAATGAGTTTGGTTGGGAATATCCGTGTGATGACTGCTTTAACTTAGGGTAATTTATCTCGCAAAAAAGAATTCTTCAGGGACAAAAGGGAGCTCTATTAATAATCACACTGGGAAGAACAGAGGACAGATGCTTACCCCCT